CCTCTATGATGTTTCACGACTCCTGAGCGGGGCAAGGATGAACCCAGCCCCACTGACCAGTTGAAACGTTGGTTTGAGCACTTTGAACAACTTTCAATGGTCAACCAACCATCAACATGATCTGCCAAGGGTGAGGCGCGTTACTCGCGTCAACACTGAAGCTCCATCATTGCAGGAGATAGAAGCAGCCATCCGAAGTATGAAGTCCAACAAAGAAGCCCCGGGGTCCATCGCATATCACCAGAGATGCTCAAAGCTGACCCCATGCAATCCTCACAAATGTTACATCAACTATTCGTCAATATCTGGGACACCGCAACTTTTCCGGCCGACTGAATGCAGGGCGTCTTGGTAAAAGTCCCCAAGTAGGGGGATCCAACTGTATGCGACAACTGGCGAGGCATCATGTTACTGTGTATTGCTCTCAAAGTTCTGTGTAAAGTTATCTTCAATCGGATACAGGAGAAGATCGACGCGACTCTCCGACGACAGCAGGCAGGATTCCGTGCTGGAAGATCCTGTGTGGACCATATTGTCACGCTCCGCATCATCTTCGAGCAGGTCAATGAGTTCCAAGAGTCCCTGCACTTAGTATTCATTGACTACGAAAAAGCTTTCGACCGACTAAACCACGAAAACTTGTGGGGCGCTCTGAGACGCAAGGGAGTCCCTGATAAGATCGTCAACCTCATCGAAGCGCAGTAAGGCCTGTACTCGAAAAAAAAATGCACCAGACAAAAGTGTTCGCCAAAAATTTATTTTAAGTCGGATTTTCTTGAAACATTCAGGGAATGAACTAATACATATGGATTATGTTTCGGCATAACTACTTTATTCAATTTCCTTTCCATCGCTGAAAGCCCGCACCTTTCCCTTAAGACCCCTCATTACATTTTGTGCAATGGTGGAGCCGACCTTTTTGGTCACTTTCATCCATTATTTCTTCAACTCCAGCTCGTTCTTAAACACCTTGGATGATTTTCGAACTTTGGCCTTCATTATGGCCCAAAATCTTTCCATCGGACGAATCTCTAGTGAATTTGGGGGGTTGGCGGTTTTTGGTACAAAAACAACGTTATTGTCTCTGTACCAATCCAACGTCGATCGCGCGTAATGGCATGATGCCAGGTCCGGCCAAAATAATGTATCGCCTCCGTGGGACCGCAGGAAGGGCAACAGACGCTTCTGGAGGCACTCGGTGCGGTAAATTTCGCTATTGATGGTACCCATTGTGATGTACGGTTTACTCAGTTTACCGCATTGGCATATGGCCTGCCAGAGCAAGTATTTTTTGGCGAATTTGTCCACTTTCTTCTTCCTTATGTCTTCCGGAACATCAAACCGTGATTTGGCAACGTAGAACTCCAGCCCCGGTGCGCGGGATTTGGCCGCCGTGTTTTGTTGATCACGCCGGTTCGGTGCCTTCCGGACCTTGAATACACGAAGCCCAGCTCGTTTCATTGTTTGCTGAACGAACCAGGCGTAACACTTTGCCTTCAGAGCCACGTCGCGAATCGAAAGGTTCGGATTACACTTGAAATAATCCAACACCTTCCGGGCCATCACAGGGTCAGCTGTCTTCGATTTTCTTCCACTTCCAGCCCGCCGCTCGGTCGTCTGGGACTCCTTAAACGATTTTACCACCCGAGACACAGTTGTCTTTCGATCCATCTCATGGTCGCAGTCGGATTTTCCATAACGGCGCGCAAAATTCTCCGGCGATTTTCTTCTTGTTTCGATGACATCTCAATAACCACTGAACCGATTGTTATGAAATTTTGCACATGTAAACAATTCACTCCAAACTAGTTATACCCAGATTTTCATCAATTTTTACCCACGGATAAAAAAATTACACACGGATAAAAATTGTGCATTTTTTTCGAGTACAAGCCTTACACAGCAAAAAAAGTTGTTAAATATTACATCGAAACTGCTGCAACCAGGTCAATCCATCGGTTGTGTAATATCACATTGTACGATGTACATCGATTTTGCGAACAAAATTACATCCATTGATGTAATATTGTATCTGCTTTTTGCTATTACATCATTATTTCATACATAAGCTTGAGTTACGTTGGACCATATTACATTTTTTTTTGCTGTGTACGAGGCTTTCTCATACAGAGTGTTGCACAACAGAGCTTTGTCTGACCCGATTCGGGTAATCGCGGGTGTGAGGCAAGGATGTATATTATCATCGTAATCGACGAGATCATGGTTGGAGCCGTTGACCGTGTACCGAACCGTGGGTTGCTGTGGCAGCCTATTACCAACAATCAATACGAAACTAACGATTTTAAATTGGCTCACTACTTGACTAGCCTATTGGTCCCAAGCAAATCGATTAACGTATCCCATTCTAGTCGAAATTCTAGTACTACGCAATGTTTGTTTTGATTCGCTATGAAAGTTTGACAGATAAAATGAGGGGTTATTGGTTTTTCCTATGTTTCGAGGGGTGAATCGATTAGCTTGGGACCGAAGTACCAGAGCTGAGCCAAAAAGTTGAGCTCGTTTCTTCGGAACCTTCTGGTCTTAGAGTTACCTCTATGCTATTACTATGGAGCATCTCAACGACTTCGATTTGGCTGATGATGTTGCGTTATTAGCACAACGGCGCTCTGACATGCAGAGTAAGCTCGACGACCTTGTGGAACGCTCCTCTGAAGCAGGTCTAACCATCAACGTCAACAAGACCAAATCGTTTTGGATGTCAACACGGAAAACCGTTCCAATTTCACGATAGCTGGGCAGGCAGTGGTGAGGAGAAAGTCGAAAGCTTCCAATATCTTGGCAGCCCGATAGCGTCGGACGGCGGCACCAAGAGCAACATAGGCGCACGGATGGAGAGCGAATCAGATCAGTCGACTCACCAAAATCCGAATTTTTAACTCGAACGTGAAGTCTGTGCTGTTATACGCCAGTGAAACATGGTGTGTATCAGCGGAGAACACTCAGAAGCTGCAGGTGTTTATCAACCGATGCCTGCGGTACCTAATTCGTGCCTGGTGGCCCCACAATTGGATCTCAAATTCCGAACTTCATCGTTTGTGCCATCAGAAGCCGATAGACAGAAATTCGTGAACGGAAGTGGAGATGGGTCGGAAACGAAATCTGCAAGCAAGCACTGGACTGGAATCCAGCAAGACATCGCAGCAGAGGCAGACCCAGAGGCTTGTGGCGGCGGACCTTAAACAGTGAAATTAAGAACGTTGACCGAAATTTGACTTGGGCACAGGTCAAGGCCAAAGCTAGTAATCGCCCAGGATGGAAACCTTTCACAAAGGCCCTTTGCACCCCTGGAGGTGCGCAGGGTCGTTAAGTAAGTAAGTTTGCAGTTATCTTTGCAACCTTTCTCCTTTTATGCTTTACAAATCCTTTCAAATAATTATATGTTTTTCTCTTAGCCTTTGTCCTACATCAAAGTCGTTACATTGTTTTAAAGAGGATCATTATTTCCTTTTCCTCATGCTCCTTGACAGCTTGACTGTATTCCTGCCTACTAACCGGTATATATTATTCATCATTTTTTGATGCTTATTTTAATTCTTAATTACTACCTTTACTGCCGCTCTTCGCATGTCGGTCCAATGGCAAAAATCAGCAAGCCGAGGAAATCGCATTTTTAGCTTGATTCGTACCATTGCTTCTTATGTGATGAGACAACCAATTTGGCTGTCTTTCCAAAATTTTCAGAACCAAGTTATTGAGTTCATCCAGTATTAAGAAAATATGAGTGATCAGCTACCATTTGCATTGTAAAACTCAGTTTTGACAAAAACTGCTATGGGACCGACATGCGAAGAGCGGCAGTTTAGGCTATCTATTTTTTTCCTTTCTGGAGTGCTAGGTTTCTTAGAGATTCTTAGAGTTCTTGATGCCTTCTCTTAATTTCCTGTATCTTCAATATTTCTCTGTTAATTTTTGTAACCTTGATCTTTATGAATATTGTTACTGTTATTTTTGAATTTTGTTACTATTATTTTTGTTCAGTAAAATCCCTATAATAATCATTTTGTGGTCAGTTTTGATTTGAGTTCAACTACCTTTAATAATGTAACACACTCTCACATATCGCACCAATACAACCGGACGTGAAAATCTCTATTTGACCAAAAATTTGTCCGACTCCACAACCGCTCGAGTAATTTTAAATCATGTTAATGAAACTTAAATAGTAGCACAAACATTTATTTAGTCATCATTTGTCAACACGAAAATATACTTTTAGAAGCTACGTGTGACTATTAGCATAGAACTTTTGAAATTACTCATCAAAAGTGGTTATTTTCGTGACATTTTGCACGACTCAATTTGGTAGCATTTTCACGTGCTGGTGTAGGGTGCTTTCAATCGTGACTCATTTGAAGTTTTCATGACTTTATTGCATTTAATCTTGTTTGTCCAGCTCGGTATTCTGTTTACTACTTAGTGACGCAAGAGCCAGAATGGCCCCCTCATAAACAGAAATGCAGGTAAAATTACAATGCACTAGCAGTAACCCAAGCCATAGATTATTTGATCTGCAAATAATCTGCAGATTGCAGGTTAAATGGTAAATACACAGTTCAATTAAACAGATTGGCCAAAATGGGTTGTTATGTTTAAACTTGATTCTTATCTTATTGAACGCCACCTTTCACTGGTGCCACCCGATTGGCAAATACGGGGGCATATAATTCTTAATGAAAACGTTGGCGGTTTACTCCAGTTAGCATATGGATGTAAATTTTCATTACCGTTAAGCTGGGAGGCTTTGTTCCTGAGACTTTCGCTTTCCTTTAAAGAACCTCTTCATTCAAAATGGATACACTTACAAAAACGACCAGTTGAGAGTTTCATTTAAAAAAAATAACAAGTATATTCCAAAGTCCCTACCTCTGACGCCAATCATTGTTTGGACTGGATATTTACGCTTCCCCATAGGATCGTTTGCTTGGTGGACCTATTTAATCGTAATCCATAATCCACAATATCTTAGTTTATTTCGCGTATTTCGCGGGACCATGTGTCGAAGTGCGAAGAGCAATTTCCCGAAGCCAAGACTAGTGAATAGTCGGTGAATTTGGTTGTTACGTTGTTGTGCTTCTCATTAGTTAGATTATCAGAAACATTGATATCGTGAAATTCATCTGTCTGGAAGAGATCTTTACCAAGCATGAAAAATCCATTTTTGTCACACTGGCCGTTCGGATAGACTTCGGATTTAACCCGGAAGAAGTACCCTAAGTCAGCGCAGCGAAATTACAGTGAAAATTTATTGGAAAGGTCCTCTAGTCACCTAAGTCACACAATCAGGTTAAACTGACCAAAGAAAATTGCACACACGCACCCGATCGCTTTGTAATAGCAAAATTTAATCAAAATGGCCGATTTTCTATCGTCGATTATGAAAGATTTTGGATCATGGCAATTCAGGGCGATATTACTGATATACTTGTGCAAAATACCATCGTCGTGGTTTATGGCGTGTTTAATTTATACGGCCCCTGTCCCTAAGCATGGTGAGTTTGTGGTTAGAGGAATATCCGTTCCGGAATGATTTACTCAAAGTCCTGAACTGATGCAATCTGGTCTGGTTGCAGGTGAATTCTTTTGCAAACCTCCCGTTCCCATCAATCACATCAACGCGACCGAATGGATCAAGGTTTCCCATCCGTTGAAGGAGGAAGTGCACGATGAAGAGTTCACCATCGACTATTGCAACGTTTTCGAAGATGCCATGGAACATAGTCTGCAGGTGAGATGAAGTGGTACCGAGATTTAAGCTAACCTCAGCTGTTAGAGATCTGTGTAGTACTTTGTGGCTTAGTACCTATGAGCTATAAACAATGTAGGATCGTTTCAAATATCAGTTAACATTAACAGGAACACTAAAGTGATGGATCGATGGAGAAGCTTGGTCCTTAAATATATACATGTCTCCTTAGCATAGGTAATAGACACACCGCACATAACAAGGAAATACAGTAATGACCCGATTTTGTCAGCACTCTTTTTGAAAAAATTTCTAATGTTTTATACGATATCCATGCGCTTTTTCAGTGGTCTTATTGCACCAAAATACAGCATTCATCTTGAAGATGAATGAGAAAGATTTGGAATTACGGGTATGTGCAATTATTGAAAGATAAAGTTTATTCTCGGCTGTAAACATCAAGTTCGGATGTTGACCAATAGCGAAATTTTATCCTTCGATCTAGGCGCTTTATATAAAGGTGACACACAAAGTGGAAGTAGGTGTTAGTTGTTTACTAACTTGAACTATGACCATTTTATATTGATGCGATATGTGAGAGCTTGTTAGTGAATATCTGAGGAAAATACATAATAAGTCGATGTCAAACTCATTTTGACAGATCTACTTTCATATTTTTTTTTAGTTTTGTCAGAGGAAAATAATAAACAACTTGACATGGCATTGCTCCCGCTAGTGTGCGTGCGTTAAACGTCACTAATCTCTGTAAAAGGAAGAAACGGATATTCAAAATCCTAACTCCGGCACTGGTTAGTGTAGATCTAGTTAGATATTTCAATGGACATAGAACAATAGGCAACAGTAGGCATTTTTATGAAAGCTCATTTGAATATATTTTTCATTTTTTACATCAAGAGCAAATTTTAATTACGTCGAAAGTATCGAAAGGTAAACAAAGTCGAGCTATCAGTGTCAATCGATACTCCTACTATTACACTATAAACTGTCATAATATAAGATCACATCACGTTTGGGTCATTCCGGCTCAAGTGGGTACACCACCTGGAATAGAAATTGGAATTCAAGAAAAAATAAAAATATATTAAATAGCCTTGATTTTTCAAAACTACCTCTCACTCATCTGGCCATATCTCAAAAACTATTTGTCCAAATCATTTGCCCTTGTAAACACATAAAGTAGAAGAGTTTTCCAAAGTGTGGTGAAAATTTGAGCCCAAAATATTAAGAAACAAAAATCCCGCCCATGGTGAAAATAGGCCATTTTTACAATTTGGACACCTGCCGGTAATCAGTCTGTTTACTGTAGTTACTATAACAAAAACGAAATGTTTGTACACATTTAAGAATCTACATTAAAAAACCTTCAAGTTGACGTTCTAAGATCACGAATAGCTTATTTGGTTATGAAGTAATCTCTTCTGAAAGTTGAAATTTTTAAAAATCTCGAAAGTCCAGTGTTGTAGCCCAGAAGGATCTAGGCACTTTAGAGCAAAATCAAAAAAAAAGCCGTTTGTTCAGAATTCCAAAATAAGCGTTTTGGCCAAGTTTGGCTCAAATCGGTGACATCGACCACAACTTTTTTAAATTCTGTACCCACTTGAGCTGGAATAACCCATTTTTAAATTTATTTATCAGTCAAATTCCTTTTTGACGTAATCACCTTCCGATCAAAATATTTTTTGATGTTACTGAAGTCACCCGATTTCTATGGAGATGCCGTTTGTCTTAAGTAACAGCGCAGAGAAAACTGTGAAAAGTGTACGTTCGTCGTTTCGCTTTCTCGTTATTAAAGTGAATAAATCGAACTGTTTGCTGCTAATATGATTTTGGTGGTCCTTAAATGATGAATGGGCTGCACATAAGGAGACGTGATTGATAATTCTCCCGAATATCCTGGTAAATACACTTTGACTTAAGTAACATTAGGAGCCATCAAACGACATATAGTAACTTTTGACTCGAAACCCAGTATATTTTTAGTATGAATGCTAGCGATCTGCTTTGTATAATTTAAGCCCTGCTTAATATGTTAAACATTGCTATCACTATGAGATTATATGTGTTTAATTGGAAATAGGAATAACTTTTCGGTCATCAAAACAAAATTTTATTTTTCTCGGATCGATGCGAATGTTACTTTCGACATAATGAATATTTGCTCTTGACATATTCTAATGACGGATCATAAACATGTTTGCTTATCCCCGTTTTGCTATGCACATTGAACTTTCCAACTAGGTCTACATTAATAACTCTGAATAAGGGTTGATGCATATATTATGTCACGCTTTAAGGGGGGAGGGGGAGTCTAAGATTTTGTGACAAGCAATGCATTAGGTATACGAAAAACGTCACGAGGGGGGTAAATTTTTCCTCGGTTTTGCGTGACATAATTAATGCATGGGCCCTAAATTGGTGTATATATTTATAGGGTGTCCCGGAAAGTCATGCTAATGAACTCAAATTTTCATTTCATATATTGGTTAGTGTAGATCTAGTTAGATATTTCAATGGACATAGAACAATAGGCAACAGTAGGCATTTTTATGAAAGCTCATTTGAATATATTTTTCATTTTTTACATCAAGAGCAAATTTTAATTACGTCGAAAGTATCGAAAGGTAAACAAAGTCGAGCTATCAGTGTCAATCGATACTCCTACTATTACACTATAAACTGTCATAATATAAGATCACATCACGTTTGGGTCATTCCGGCTCAAGTGGGTACACCACCTGGAATAGAAATTGGAATTCAAGAAAAAATAAAAATATATTAAATAGCCTTGATTTTTCAAAACTACCTCTCACTCATCTGGCCATATCTCAAAAACTATTTGTCCAAATCATTTGCCCTTGTAAACACATAAAGTAGAAGAGTTTTCCAAAGTGTGGTGAAAATTTGAGCCCAAAATATTAAGAAACAAAAATCCCGCCCATGGTGAAAATAGGCCATTTTTACAATTTGGACACCTGCCGGTAATCAGTCTGTTTACTGTAGTTACTATAACAAAAACGAAATGTTTGTACACATTTAAGAATCTACATTAAAAAACCTTCAAGTTGACGTTCTAAGATCACGAATAGCTTATTTGGTTATGAAGTAATCTCTTCTGAAAGTTGAAATTTTTAAAAATCTCGAAAGTCCAGTGTTGTAGCCCAGAAGGATCTAGGCACTTTAGAGCAAAATCAAAAAAAAAGCCGTTTGTTCAGAATTCCAAAATAAGCGTTTTGGCCAAGTTTGGCTCAAATCGGTGACATCGACCACAACTTTTTTAAATTCTGTACCCACTTGAGCTGGAATAACCCATTTTTAAATTTATTTATCAGTCAAATTCCTTTTTGACGTAATCACCTTCCGATCAAAATATTTTTCGATGTTACTGAAGTCACCCGATTTCTATGGAGATGCCGTTTGTCTTAAGTAACAGCGCAGAGAAAACTGTGAAAAGTGTACGTTCGTCGTTTCGCTTTCTCGTTATTAAAGTGAATAAATCGAACTGTTTGTTGCTAAGATGATTTTGGTGGTCCTTAAATGATGAATGGGCTGCACATAAGGAGACGTGATTGATAATTCTTCCGAATATCCTGGTAAATACACTTTGACTTAAGTAACATTAGGAGCCATCAAACGACATATAATAGCTTTTGACTCGAAACCCAGTATATTTTTAGTATGAATGCTAGCGATCTGCTTTGTATAATTTAAGCCCTGCTTAATATGTTAAACATTGCTATCACTATGAGATTATATGTGTTTAATTGGAAATAGGAATAACTTTTCGGTCATCAAAACAAAATTTTATTTTTCTCGGATCGATGCGAATGTTACTTTCGACATAATGAATATTTGCTCTTGACATATTCTAATGACGGATCATAAACATGTTTGCTTATCCCCGTTTTGCTATGCACATTGAACTTTCCAACTAGGTCTACATTAATAACTCTGAATAAGGGTTGATGCATATATTATGTCACGCTTTAAGGGGGGAGGGGGAGTCTAAGATTTTGTGACAAGCAATGCATTAGGTATACGAAAAACGTCACGAGGGGGGTAAATTTTTCCTCGGTTTTGCGTGACATAATTAATGCATGGGCCCTAAATTGGTGTATATATTTATAGGGTGTCCCAGAAAATCATGCTAATGAACTCAAATTTTCATTTCATATATATGTTCTCTATAATATTCTCTTTCAATTGGTAATACGCAGTTCCTTTAATCGTATGCCAAGGAGCGAACTTTTGATCTGACGCTGCCCATGAGCTGAGCACAGATTCATTGGCAATCATTTTGACCAGTCCTTTTAAAAAATTTCGATTGAATTCGCTGCCTTAAAGTGTTTCCGTAGATATCTCTAGGAAAGGGCCCAAAAAGTTTCGATTGGCCCGGACAATTCAGAGAATTAATCTCTTTTGGCACGTATTGCACATTGTTTGCTCTGTACCAAGCTACCGTGTCTTTCGAGTAGTGCATTGACACCAAATCGGACCAAAATAGTACTGGGCCATCATGTTGACGGATCATGGGCCGCAGACACCGATTCAAACACTCCCTTATTGACGAAAGCTTGGTGATCTTCTGGTCCACTTTTTGGTCCACCGGTCCCGGTTTACGGCCACATTTAGATGTGTCCTCGAAGTTAACTTCTACACCGAACTTCCGGATGGTGGTTTGGACTGCTCCGATACTTACTTCCTACATTTTCGCCAACTTCCTTACTGATACTGATACTGATACTGATGATTTATTTATTATGTATATTAATGACATGCGACGAGTTTTACGGTTTTGTGATATTAATCTTTTTGCTGACGATACTGTGTTATTCATTGCAGCTAAGGATTTAGAAGAAGCCGTTTCACGCTTGAATGAAGATTTGCGTTCTCTAAGTAGATGGTTGAAGTATAAACAATTGAAATTGAATATAAGTAAAACTAAATTCATGGTAATTTCGCGGAATCGTGTAGATGATGATTTTTTTTTTTTTTTTTTCCTTTGATTTGTTTTCCGTCGATCT